CTGTCCCCCTCCCCCCCCCCCCCCAAAAAAAAAAAAAAAAAAAAAAAGCTTCTTAATTTGGTTCTTTCAATTAAAGCCTTGTCTGTATGCAGGAACAAAGGTGTGCATATATGCTCCCCTCAAATGGGCCTTTCCCTCTTTTGATCTTGTTTGGATGACTAGCTCTCTAACTCCATTTAGCTACATAAAATAAAATAAATTTTTTCTTCTTTAAATTTTTGCTTGCTCCTATGTTTGTGTGTATATGTATGTATGTGTCTGATGTATGTGTATGTTTTTGGGCCGGGGTCGGGTCAGGTTTCATGTGCTGGCCGAGTTTGACGAGTCAAAAAGGAGCTGCAGAAAGAGGCTTGCTGATCACAATCGCAGGAGGAGGAAACCTCACAACAAAAACAGCAACAACCCTTCGTCCGCAACCGACTCCTCCTCTGACAAGGCCAAACTCAGTACTGCTCCTCCCATGCCTTCAAGAGATCACTCTACTTGTGCGCGCGCAAGATTAATTTCGATGGGAGTAGTTTTCTTACGTACCGGGAGCAACATTCAGGTCTCTCCGAGAGATGCTTGTATCAGTGTTGGAAGAGGCCAGTCGAGGATATGTCAAAGATGTTCGATCACATTGGCACATTTTGGACACATTTATATATATATATTGATCCCGGCCGGGATCATGAGAACAACTCATATATGCCATTAAGTTAATAGTTTGCGCGGAATATATATCTTGTTAATAATTAATTGAGTTTAAATGTTTAATTTTTTCCGCAAGCGTCGACGTTCTAGCGTAATACACTGTGTGTAATTTGTGCAGCGAGCAGATGTACAAGCAGTACCGCGGCAACTACAAATAATACTAGCGGTACGGGCTTAGATCAGGTGAATACTGGTCACGTAGAGCAGAACAAATCAATCCTGTTCAGGAATGGGCCAGCTCTATCCCTCGGAGGGGTCGCCGCAGGATCTCAACAAATTAGCCTCTTCAACAATTACCAACATCACCAGTACTTGATCTCTCCTTCGCCCTCCAGTAGTAACAACAACAACAACAACAACAACAGTGTTGGCTTCTACCATCAGAGCTTCATTGGTTCGACCTCAAACGATGCATCTCAATCTCATGATCTGCACCAGGCCAACCTCCTCCATTTGGGTCAATCCTTGTTCGAGGTTGACTTCATGTGACGCCAAAATGGCTAGTCCTTTTTTGTGCTTGCAGGTTTTTCTTAATTATTACCTTTTTCAGTGGGAATAATATTTGTTAATTTCCTTTTGTTATGAAAGAGAGGTGCTCTCATCATTTTTGGTTCTCCGTTGCTAAATCTGCAACAATTAACTGTGCAAAGCGAAAGCAAAGCCTGTTGGTCTTTCACAAGTTCGGTACACTAGGAGCTTAATTGTTTGGTTCTTAATTTTCAACATACATAAAATGTAAGCGCGCACGCAGGTGCATTCAATTTAGATACTAATTACCTCAATA